GAAGGTGAGCCACCATCCAACTAGAACCAGGAAGTCCAAAGAAGATGGGGCCAGAGACAGGCCACAGAGCAGCAGGATGGGGCCTGGGCGGGCGGCGCTGGTGCGGATCCCGTTGCACTTGGTCCTCAAGGGAGGGGGCTAGAAGAGCTTTGCTGCTGTAGCCGTGAGACTGAGAGACCCAGACAGTGCACAAGACCCAGGACCCAGGACATGAGTAAGCAGGGGACAGCCAGGAGTGGAGACAGAGCCCCGCAGGAGGCTCCCGGGCTTCTGCTCAGGAGCAAGAGCCAGTCTGAACCCGAATGGAGGCGGGAACTTTCTGGGGCAGGAAACTAGCTGTGAGGCTCCTGTCAAGCAGAGCCTGGCCAGAGAGATGGCCTCACCTGCAACGGTCACCACGGGCCCTGTGAGAGATGGAAAGGCAGGTCCTGAGAGCACCTGTCCTGTGGGTGAGTCTGGGAACAGAAGCCGAGGGCACCTGCCCACACTGTCCTGAAAGCAGGGCTGACCCGGAAGGCTCTCCTCCGAGTACCAGGAGCCAGAGACAGAGGCCAGCACGGCCGCTCGGAGAGCCTGGTTCCTTGCAAGAGAGGAAGGGCAGGTCCCGTTCCCTCATCCCTCACGGGCTGCCTCATCCCCCTCTCCTCTGGCTCTGGCTCTGGCTCTGCCCTAGGGAAGCCTCGGCCCCAGCCTACAGCTGGGTCACACACTTGCTCCACCAGGTCAGAGCCTGCTCACTCAGAGGACCCCTCCCTGCCCCATGAGCCCCCGCCCCTCAGTCAGGCCTAGCTCACACCTCGTCTCCTGACATGCCCTCCTGCCCATCACCTGACTCCTGAGCCCCAGTCCTGGAGCCCCCAGCTGCTCCCACCAACCAGAGCCCAGCCCTCGCCCCGGCCTAAGGACCCTGCCCGGGATCCTCAGCTGGACTCCCTACTGCTGAGTCTCTGAAGCCTGCCACACAGCTATGGCCACAATCTGGGCCCCCACGGCCCCAAGTCCTGCTCTTCTCCAGAGCCACGCCTTCCTGCCCGGTCCTGGTCCCTCCCACCGCACCCTCGCAGCCTTCTCTCCACCTGTGTTCTGTCCCAGATGCAGCTGACCCTGGCCTTCTTCTTGCTCCCCCTACCTGGCGCAGGTTTCGGGTGACCCTGACGTCGTGCCAGGCGTTGTCGTTGAACTTGCCGTTGACGGGTTCCACAAGGGCCTCAAAGGCACCCGAGCCTAGGTTGATGACCAGCCAGACAGCCCCGGACTTGAGGGACAGGTTGACATAGTCGGCCGACTTGCCCGTGTGCAGCATCAGCCCGTTGCGCTGCAGGGTGCGGAAGGCCAGCGTGATCTCGTCAGTGCTGCTCTGGATCGGGTTGTGTGACAGGTCATAGCAGAAGAACTCATTGCCTTTGAAGGTCGCCACAAACTCCTCCTTGCCTGGACGCAGTGGTTGGGAAAAGGGGAGAAGGCTGAGTGAAGCCGGCTCTGCCAGAGGCTCCGTCTTCCCCTCCAGCCACCCACACTCCAGTCCTGGGCACCGGGAGTCCTGCAGTCCCACCTCTGAGCTCTAGGCCCCTTCCCCCTCCTCAGCTTCCCAACCCTCCTCCCTGGGCCTGGCCATCTTTGCTGTCAAAAACCAACTTCCCCCCAGGTCCATTTCCAGAGCCAGAGGCTGCTAAGTGGCTCTTACACTGACAGCTGACAATTAAGCTGCCACAGGGCCAGGCAGAGCGGACAGTCCTCGCCATCTCCCTACATCAACCCTCCTGTCGGCCACCTCCTTAGCAAAGAGTTGTCGGACAGAGACAAGAAGCTCTATCTGGTTCCTCCCTAGGACTGGGACACCAAGGGTCCCCCGAATGCAGCCCACCTCCCCTTCCTGCCTCCCCAGGTGACGGACATTCTCAGTGCCCAGGGATGGTTTCAGGCCTTACCATTTGGGATGGGGCTGGTAAGCCTACTGTGCAGCACTGAGCAGACAGGAGGATAGGAAATAGTGGGAAGGGAAAGGACAGGGGTAAGACAACAGGAAGACAATGCAGGTGACAGGGGTATGCACCAGGCAGCTGCACTGTGCAGAGCACCCATGGTGGCCACCATGCCAGCTCTCACTCCACCCCCAGCGTCCCACTCCAACCTGAGGACAGCCTCTGAAAGGCCGTATAGGGCTGGGCATGCTGGGTGGGCCAGGCGGGCAGCAGACGCAGGACTGCTGGGATTTCACGTGTGGGGACATGTGGGGTGTGTGCGTGCACCTGTGTGCTTGTGAGGTGTGTGTGGACATAGCACCCAGCCCACTTTTTAAGCAGCAGCAACTTCTGAGAGGCCCTTAGGGATTGCTAGTGCCCTGCAAGTAGGTGACAAGCAAGAGGTCACTGACTCTGGGACCAGGAAGTTGGGTTCAAGCTAGAACACAAGCAGAGGGAAGAGAACCTGAGTAGTGGCCAGACCAGAGGCCCTGGACTCAGGCAGTGGCTTATGTCTCCTTGCCAATCAACAGTGACACCTTTTCTTCGTCCCACCTTCCCAGGTGGGTGAAGAGCAAACAGGGCTGTGTCCTAAGGGTCTGTGCAGAGACTGAGCTACTGGAGTGCAGGGGTTCTCAGTAGACATTCCCAAGGCCCAGAAAAGAACAGTCACCTTGCCGGGGGTATACAGGGCCACCAGGAGGCAGCTGCCTTCCCATGGCTCAGCAGCACTGCCATGTGTGGCTGCAGGGTCTCTGGGTGCACATCCAGCAGAGCCCCTGCCCTGCTCACACAGGCTGCCTCCCTCTCTGGGCAGCCTGCCCACAGACTCTGCCCTCACTGTCTCCGGATGCCAAGGCACCAGCTGCTGTCCCAGCGCCTGGCACAGCCCTCACTGCAGCTGGCAAGGCCCAGTGTCCTGAGGCCACAGGGCAGCAAGGCTGGGGGAGGGGCATGGGACACACTGGGACAGCCTGAATCCCTCCCTCTGTCCGCCTAGGAGACCAGAGGCAATGGTGAGGATCCAGTAGGACAAGAAGGGGCAGGAGGGTGCTGTAGAGGGCGGCAGTGCAGAGAGGAGAAAGATGGGCCATTGAGGACCAGAGGAGAGACACAAGCTCAGGGCTGGAAGGGAACCAGAGGTGATGCGAAGCTCCATGGGTAAAGAAAAGGACAGGCCCTGGGGGACAGGCAGGGAGACAGGGAGAGGGCCAACAAGGAAAGGGAACAGGGACCTCCAGGGAATGAAAGCCAAGGCTATCAGGGACCTTACTGTTTCCATAGTAACCAAGCCTGCTGCTCAGATAGTGGCAGAGCCGGGGGGCTCAAGGACCAGAAAAGGGAATGTGTTTGACCTTGGGTTTGCCACAAGTACTGGTCAGGCCCGCCCAGAGGCCTGGCCTCCCCTCCCACTCCCTCACCTTCACCACAATCAAAGAAAATACCATTACAGAGCCAGTCAGACCGAAGGAAAAGAAAGAACAAGGCGGTCACAGGAAAAAGTGATTGGGACAGAACAAAAGAAGCCAGAAAAAAGGAGAGAGGCAGGACTGGGCTGGATGGACCAGGCTGCCAAGACACAGCAGAGAAATAGGCCATTCCTCGACTCCTCAGCTCGGCCCCAGGCCTCCCGGGAGAGAAGGCAAAACTGACTCCGCTGCAGCTTCTGCCTACTATAGGCTCTAGTCCCTGGAGACACCAGAGGACTGTCAGGCACGCCCAGAGATGGGAAGAGACCCGGAGCGGCCAAGGGGAGCATGGAGAGCGGAGGGACAGAGAGAGGTAAGAAAATGCAGTAGAGAAAACCAGGGGACTAAGAGGGGAGAGAACCTTGGGGAGCCCGAGGGGCAGGACCTCAAGGGATGGTGGGGTGATGCTCCTGAGGTCAGGATGCAGGGTAGCAGAGGGTGCGCTGCAGAGCACAAACCGGATCTGAGCCCTTGAAGCGCCAGGGGGCGCTCCACCCCATCTCCTGCACCGCAGCCGGGACTACAACTCCCAGCAGCACCTGACAATTAAAGCTCCCAAGCTCCGGGTGCAGGGAGCCAGTAAGAGCTGATGCTTGTTAAACTCTCTCCACCGAGGAGTCTGTGGTCCCACAAGTGTCCCCAGTGGACCTGAGTAAGGCCAGAGACTAGCTATTGTGATCCTGGGTTTCCAAGCGCCATGAAAATGGGGGACGCAGCAGCCGCCTCTTTTCCGGGCCCAGCTCAAGGGCCTCCGCTGGGAAGGTCTCCAGCGCCCCTCGCCCCTCCCTGCGCCGGAGCACTACAGCTGTCTGTTCTGCGCGTTTGGCACTTACTGCCTAGTAACATCTTGTACGGCTCCCTGGGGAGGAAGTGTGATGTGAGAAAGAAGACCTGGGCGCTAGTGCTGGCTCCGCCACCAGCTTTGTGACCTTGGCCAAGATACAAGAGCTCTAAGCCCAGCTTTTCTCCTCTGGAAGAGAGCTAATCACCAGCCCATCGCACAGGCTGCTGCGGGCATCTAGAAAGAACAGACAGGGGCCGCTTCCTAAACGTAAGCCAGCCCACAGATCCACTCTTGTGCTGGGATCTAACTTCTGTGGATGTGCGCAGGCGCAGGTGCGCACTCACTCTCCCTCCCTCCCTCCCTCTTTCTCTCTGAATAAATTAATTCCTCTGAACAAAGTCTGCACTTTTCTATTCTTTGCGTGGACCACGCTGTATTGTAGTTACTTGTGAGAACGTCAATGAGACTCCTGGGGCCAGAGACCATTCGCTCATTTAGAACAGTGCGCTGGGCTCCAGCCTACGCATGTGCGGGAACTGTGCAGAGCCTGGGGGGCTGGGGTCAGCGGATACAAATGAAAATCCCCAATCCTCTGCGAGCTCAGTGCAGTGGGGGTGACAGTTGACAGTGTGACCGACTCTAACGGAGGTGTAGATGAAGGGTACTCGGGGAGATGTCCAGGTTGGCCTGGGAGCTGAGTGGCTGAAAGAGACTGGCAAGTTGCTGGAGGCAGGCAGGGACAGCGGGAACCCAGGCAGACAGAAGAACACTGAAGGATGCAGATGGGATGTGACAGCACCAGGCTTTGGACCCACCACAGTTCCTTGAGGGCTGTCAAACTGGCCTGTAAATTTCTTGGGAAAGAGATTCTCCTAAGAGAGGCAGCCACAGCGTGGAAAAAAAAGGAGCTGAGATCTTAGAGCCCCAAGATGCAGAAGGGCCCCGTGCTGGCCTTGGGGGCTTTGGCCAGTGTCAGTTTCCCTATTTGTAAAAAATGAAAGCAACGATCCCTGCCACCAAGAGTCACGAGGGACCTCTGAGGCCATGTGCATGATACACACAGATCACAGCAGCCACAGCTCCCACCCAGAAGCCCCCTGGGCAGGTTTTCAGAATTTGATGGTTAAATGGGGGGGTTGCCCTGCTCCCAGAGAAACAGAGATTTTCTAGGGACAGGCCTGACAACTGCCATAGAAAAGGACATTTGTGTTCTAGAAAGCCATCAGGACAACAGGCTGTGAGAAAGAAATGGAGGTTGGGTCCTCTGCCCCAGGGCAGGGGCCTCAGGACTGGCATTGCAGTACAGGCCCAGGGAAGGCCTCCTGGGTACCCAGCGGGGCACCTGCGCCAACTCGGCTCTCCTAAAAGTATAGTTAGTCTTCAGTGGGTGAGGACTGGGCTCCCTGGAGACGGTGGGGTCACTGACCTTTGGTAGGCTGGTGCACATCTCCGGCTCCTCCTCTCCCGGCCCCCCCCTCGGAGAACAGTAAGGACCCTACTGGAGAAGCAGAATTGGGGGGTCAGGCGCAGGGGGCATCCCAGCCAGGCCCACCCCAACCCTGAGTGACGCAGGGCCCTGTTCAGGGCAAAGGTGCTACTTGCATGCACCAGGGGACTTCTCTGGGGACTAGCTTGTCTCCAGGACAAACCAAGAACCACTCTCTCCATAGACCCCATTAGACTCATGACCACCGGTTTCTAGTCTTGGCCCAGGGGTAGGGAGTCTGGGCAGAGGAGCAGAGGAAGGAGCAGAAACAGACGAGCCCATCCCCAGAGGCCCTGAGCTCTGGTTTCCCACCTCTGGCTGGTCCCTGGCCACTGCGCCTCCCCTAGGCTCACGCTCCTCCCCACAGGGCATCTCTGCTCATGTCCCTTTTGCTGGCTCAGAGTTCACAGTCGTCATCTCCAGACACAGGCAGCCCTGCTCCAAAAGCCTCCCCAGTTCACACTGCTGTACCTACCCTCTCACTGGCCACCTACATTGACCTGAGTCCCCGCAGTGACAAGAGTTAAACCCTGGGGCTCCCCAAGGATTTCCTGGGGGGAGGGGCTTCCCATAGTTCCTGTTGACTCATCCTCCCTGCACTGTGCCCACGGAAGGGCTGTGCCCACCAAGGCAGGGCCTGGCTGGGCAGAGCTCACCACAGCTGTGGGCAGCCTCCCTCGGGGGCCAGTTCTCACTCCCCACCACCCTCTTCACCACCACTGAAGGCACAGTTGCCATGTCTGGGCTCCAGACCCCCTGAAGCTCTCTCACCCAGCTCTGTCAGAGAACGTGCCCCCAGTGCCCGGCTCCCTGGCACCCACCCTATTGCCATATCTACAGGATGGCTTCAGGATAAGGCGGCCCCAGGGATGCAGGAGAACAACTCCTATCTGGGCTCTAACTGACTCCAATCCCAAATCCCCAAAACTCAAACTGTATTAGCATCTGTGCTACGGAACTTTCTGGAGGTGGGGAGGGCCTTCTGGGATCACTGATAACTAGGTGAGCCACAGCCAGCACCCCAAAAACAAGCACTGAGAGGCAAGAAGAATGTGCATGGGCCAGCCAGGGCATCTCCTCCTGCCTCCCCACACTTCTTGCCATGGTTCCCCATCCCTGCAAGGAGCCTAGGCCTCCACCTACCCAGACCTAAACCCATCCCCAATCTCAGATCTACAGACGTCTCTCCCTGCAGTCCAGGTGTGGTTCTGTGGGTCCCCCTGCCCACAGTTAAGGACTTCACCCTGACCCTCAAAAGAGAGCTACATTGGGTGCGCACGGCAGTGCCCAAGCTCCTGGAAGGTCAAATTCCTGTGCTCTTAAAGAATCAATGACAGGGAGGACGGAGGAGGCCAGAGACGGAAGGCACCAGTCAGGACTCCTAGGTTCTGTCCCCAGGTTTTCTTGACACCAGGGCTTTGAAAGGGGGCAGGGACTTGGCTGAAGGGAGGCCCAAATTAAATGACGAGTCCCAGTGTCCTACCAACTGGGGCTGTGCAATCACTAGCAAGTCAAATTTATCTCTGGTCCTCAAGGTTCTCATGCGTCCAATAGGGTCACGAGCCATTCAAAAGGCAGGAGGGGAAGGTGGACATGGGACACTGTGGAAGACAGGGGTCCTACACCTCCAGCCCCCCCCCTTCCTCCCCATTCTGGAGACAGGGGCCTCCCGCAGCAGCAGCAGGGGAGGAGGAACATGGGACATGGCTGCACACCTCTATCCGCAGCCCAGGCCCTTCTCTGTTTACTTGGGTTCATAGAAAAGAAAGGATGATCAGAATGAGTGGAAGGAAATAAAACAGCACCATGAGAAAGAAAACAAGCGAGATACACTACCAGGAAAACGCAAAGAGGGACTGGAGACAACGGCAGGAGTTCAAACATCTCTTGATGTCAGAAACCAAGGTGGGATGAGGGCGCATGGAGGAGAGGGGAGTGCACAGACGGGGATCGCCCCGCCCCCACCCGCACCCCCCAATAACACAGAGAAATGGCAGAGGAGTGGGTAGGAAAGGAAGGAAGGAGGCAGGACAGGTGGAGGAGGGAGGGGAAGGAAGAAGAACAGAAAAATCCAGGCGCAGGTTGGGGGCCATCCAATCCAATCCAAACCAAACCAAAACTTCAGACCATACCTTCGCTGTTTAACGTCAGGTGAGCCGGACCTTGGAAAGGGGAAGGAGAGAAAGAAAGAAAGAAAAAAAAAAAAGAAGGAAAAAAGAAAGGGAAGGGGAAAGAAACAAAGAAAACACAGTCATCAAAATCAGCCAGAGAGAAGGGAGGAAAAAAGCTTTTGCTGCCACAATTTAAAAACCCCTTTTTAACTTGTGACAGACATCGGGACAGAGCCCCCAGCCCAGAAGCTGAGGGAAGGGGCCCGATGCGGAGACAGAGGGGGAGGG